TAAGTAATAAACTCAAGTTCGTAATTATGGCTTAGACTGATCATATGAAATTGATTACTAGATATCAGGACTATACGATGAAAGATTTTTTTTCAAATACATATCTTCTGAATAAACAGTAGAAAAGGTATCAGCGAAAAAAATATTAAAAAGAAAACTTTTAGATAAGACATTTATGCAGTTAAAATAGATTTACTTTTAATTGTATTATGCATTTGCAAGGAAGTAACAAGCTAATAGATAATTTTTTCATTTAGGATTTCAAAAATATATTGTATAATGCTTCGTTCATATGAAATTTTTTTATCATTTTAGTTTGTAGTGTCATCATGTAACCTGTATTATATATTTTTTCAATAAAGCAATGATGCAATAAGGACCAAATTTGCTAGTTATGGAATTGTGAGAAGCATGTATGCTAATATTTTTTCGATCAAGTTTTATTGTAATAAAATTATTGATCTAAAACAAATATATAGTAATATTATTACATATATTACAGAAATAAGTAATTGCGCAAAATAATTTATTCTCAAACTTTCTCGCATATTCTCAAAATTATGTATAGCCTCTTGATAATCTTTATATATGAATAGTGTTAAATTTTTTATTGTTAAATTAAAGGATATCATTGATATTAACGTAATTTTTCTTCAAAAGCATATAATAAAATTGATCTTGCAAATTATATAAAAAGGTAATATCCCTATTAATGAGCCCTTTTATTCACCTTAAGCAAATATTAGTGAAAAAAAATCAAACAAAAATTCTAATAAAATTTCAAACTTATATCATCAATATTAACAATCAGACGAACTCATATATTCTGCAAAGTTATAATAAAGTATATTAGTTTTATTGCTTAGCTAGCTTCTTAAAATATGTTATCACAATGTTAATCTATTTTTCCTCCTTTATAGATGTTTCAAAATAAAATGAACATATTACTCTTCTTACTATATATCAGCATTTTGATCTTTGCTGAGAAAATCACTGACTATTATCATGCATATAATACAGCAAAAGTCTGACACAGTGTATCATCTTATATAAGCATCTTCATATACCAAATTCTTTAAAACTTTGCACAGTATGATAATGCAGAAAAAATTAAGTGATAAATATCTTATGTATAAAACAAAATGAAATCATGTAAAATGAATTGTGATAGTAAGTGTAAATCATTATTGTATTATTTTTTTTACCTCAGTTGCTAATACTTCTGTAATTATATAATAGATTTAAAAATTTCATTTTATTAAAGTTCTCTTGCAGGAAATAATCTATTACATAGTCTGTATAGGTGAGAGTGATATAGGTAGACGAAATTCTGTAGATTGTGTGAGAAAATTTATTTCAAAAATCTAGTATAATAAAAAAATATAGGGTAAGAATCTTGTAATTAGCAATAATGATAGAAATAAATTAGATGTAGAAGTTTATAAAAAACCTGAGAGAGCAAAGAAAAATAATTTGATGCTAGGATTCGCGTACTTCCTTTCTCTTTGATAGTATTATCTAGTATATTTTAATTAATAAAATTTTACAATACATCAAATAAATAAATGCTAATATTTTCATTATTTATCATGTTTTATTTTTGTACTTAATCTGAAAAAGCTGTAGACTAAGAGTTTAGTTTACACTAATATCATATTACTGTAAGAGCATTCTTATTAGATTAAGAGTCCTAACAGTTTGCTGAACTAAGAGTTTATGACTAGAGATTAAGAGTCCTAACTTGTCTATTGTTTAAACGCAATATTAGGTAGGTACTGTAAATTGTAATATGTTAGGAGTTAATTGGAAATTCAAAAACTATTCCTGCTTCTAAAAATAGATTTGATTTATTATATCACGTGACTTTAGTAGTTTTACCTTTAGGACTCATCTAATGATCATCTTTATAGCTTTTTATTATGCTAACAAGATCGAAGACTGGACGTGTAATAACCTGGTAGAATATTATCATGATAAATCAGAGAAAAAAGATTGAAAAAAAGTATTAGATTGAATTAAAAAAGATCTCATAAGGATGATAAGGTTCGCTGAGTTCAATACGATACGTAAAGAAAAAGTATAAGAAATCCTGAATAAATGAAAGATAACTTATTGGATTTGATTAATTGAGAGCTAGTCTTTTACTTAATTATTTATTTATCTTTAAAAATCACTAATTAATTACATTTTTTTTTTACTTTTTACTTAAAAAACAAATTTATTATATAAGTATTAATTTTTTAATAATATATTTTAAAATATTTAAAAATAATTTAAAAGAATTATAATTAATAAATAAAATTGACTACAAATTTATAAACAAAATAATTAAAGGAATAATATAAGATATAAGCATTTTAATAGAATTACAAATAATCTTCATTAGCATTTAAAAAAGAAATAACCTATTAAATTAGAAAAAATAGAAAAAAAATTAATGAATAAATATATTAATAAAATATTATCTATAAGTTTATTTAAAAAAATTTTTATTTTATTTATTAAATATTAAAAAATTATATAATTTATGTAATATTCTCTAATAGTATTTCATAAATTATATTATATGAATTTTTTATAATGATTAATTTTTTTTAATTCTTAAATCAGAAACCTATAAATTTATTTTATATATTAAAATTTAATATTAAAATACCTTTAACTAATATTATTTATACAGATTTAATAAAATATTTTAATTAAAAATGTATAAAAATCCAAAATATTTTATAAAGTAATTTTTTTTTATTTTATTTATATAAATTAATATTAATATTTGTTTTTATTTTAGAATATTCCTGATCATATATCATTTATAATTAATATATAAATATTAGCTATTTATATTCCTTTTTTAGGAATTACAACTCATTGGATTTAAAAAATAGAAATTAGTAGAAATTTTAGTTGATTTTATAAATTAAATGAATTTATTCTAAAGAAAATTTAGTAAAATATTTTATTAATTACTATAATAAATTTAAATTTTTAATAAAAAATATATATTTTTTATAATTTTTAAATTTAATTTACAACTTATAATTTATATTATATTTATTTATAATAAAACTTTAAAAATTTATTGTTAAAATTTGAGTTTCATCTCAACATCATAAAAATTTTATGTAAATGTAATGCAGTTTCACTTTCTGTTAAAGAACTTATATTAAAATGTAAAATCAATATAGAATTCTAATTATGATAAGATTAAATATAATTTTAAATTATATGATATTAGTATTAAAGATGATTTATTTTATAACTAAAATTTATAAAAATTTATTAAAAATTATTACAACTAAATATTACTTTTTAATAACTAAGAATCATAAATAATATACAAAAAAAAATTACAAAATATTAAAAAATACTTTTTTTTTTTATATTAAAATATATTTTTTTAAAGAGTAAATTTATTCATCGCAGGTGCGATATCATCGCCTCCTTTTTGTCACCCGTGTCACGGGACTTAGAAATTTTTCATGTGTGAAACCCTATTTGTCACTTCAGTTAGTGTTAGAGTTAGGGTAAGGTATATGTATAATGGCGATGTATAAGGAGTATCCCCCCCCCCCCCCGCGATGAATAAATTTACTCTTTTAAAAAATTGTTAAATAATAAAATTTCTTTTTTATAATAAACTTTTGCATTATAAAAAAAAGCTAGCAACTCTGAATCTAAATATAATATTTATAGGTTTTTTATTGCAGATTAATGATTTTTTTTTACTTTTAACAAATAATTAAATTATTACTATAATTTTTGTAATTTGTTAATCAAAATGAAATTTATCATATAAAAATTAATTCATTTACAAATTATGGATATTATATATTCTTTAATAGCAAAGTAAAATATGCATTATAAAATTCATTATTTAATAGGAAAAATCTCGTCAATGGAAAAAAAAATTATCTTCATAACTTCCTTTCTTAAATAACACTTGTTACCTTTAATGAAGTTAACTTAAAGGCAGCAGCATCATCTAAGAACCAATACAATTTTCCAGTAACTGGATGAACCAAGGCAGCAGGCAATCGACTCTCAGGATTTTCAATTATCTCTTTCAACACATCTTGTTTCCCTTCACCAGTTGCAACGAAAGCTATATTATGAGCATGATTAACCACCGGTAAAGTAAAAGTAATCCTTCTGGGTGGTGGCTTTGGTGAATCACCAATATAAGCAACCCATCCAATGGTTAAATCCAACAAAGGGTGATCTGGAAAAAGAGAACAAGTATGTCCATCAGGTCCAACTCCCAATAAAAGTAAATCGAATACAGGAAATTTAACAGCATTCACAGTTGCAAACACAGAAATTAATTTTTGTTCATAATCTTCTACTATTTCTAATGAAGCCTCTTCGATTGCTTCCGTTCCTTTTTCGACAGCTGTTTCAAGTTGCGGAAGTAATGAAGGATCTATGGTATAAATTTGATCTCCGGGGATCGGAACATGATCAAAGAATTCTTTTTTACACAATGAATAATTAGAATCCTCATGATCTAATGGAACAAGTCTAAATTGTAAAAAAGAAAAGATTTAATTTGTCGAGAAAACTTAATTTTGAGTAAACGAATTAATAAATTAAGCTAACCTTTCATCGCAAAAAAACACATGCCATTTATCCCATTCTATGTCTTCACGGTTCTTTAAATCAGAAGCTAAAAGTTTAGGTAGAGAACCACCTGAAATTCCTACAGTAAACCTATCTCGCGATTTAATTGATTCTTCAGATAATTTTACTGTTAGATCAGCAAGATCTACTGAAAGTTCTCGTGTGTTTGAAAAGGTATGAATGTTTGACGCATTCATTGTTAATTGAATTCAACTTGTTAATGAAAAGTAGAAAATATGAAATTGAAGTCGCCTTTATATTTGATCGGCATAATCTGAGCCGCAGATCTGCAAATGGAATTTTCCAATCAACAACGGACAACTCAGCTATGTAATACAATTAATTAAGTAATACAACATTTCAAAGTAAAATCATAATTCATGCAAGAAATTGGTTTGATCGCATTTTTGGACATGAATTGCTTAAGTTTTCAGAGACTTTGGGTTCTCTTTTCTATTATATTATTATCTTTGATTATTGTCGGAAACGAAGCCAATTCACAAGTTCAAGAAAATCCATCAATTAATTTATCAGAATCAGCAGTAGCTCATTTACAATGCCCTTACGTACGAGCACTTTCAGAACAAAAAAAGGAGAAATTAGAAAATGAAAGTAGTAATATAACAAAAACAATTTTTTCGTATCTTTTCCCCGGAAGTCCACGTGTAAATTCCCTTCTTGGGACGCTTTACATTTCTTCAATACCTAATTTCATATTGTATTTCGTACCACCCGATATTAAACCTTCATCATTAAATTCATTGGTTAGTTTTGCAGTAGGAGGATTATTAGGGGACGTATTTTTACATCTATTACCTCATTCATTCTTAGGAGAGAATAACGATGAAGTAGTTCATTTTGTGCAGGTAGAAGAACAAAAAAATGTTGTGATTGGGTTGGCAATTTTTGTGGGATTGACCACATTTTTTGTGATTGATAAATTAATGAGGGTCGCAAATGGAGAAGGTCATTCACACGCACATTATGAGAAGGAACATGAACATGATGAACTTCAACGCGATAGTACAGGTAAAACAACAGCCATAAAAGATAATTCATCGCTTCGAAAGCGATCATCCACTAACGAAACCACGTTTCGTGAAGAAAAAATACCTTCTAATCAACCATCAAACAGTATAAAATTATCGGCATATCTTAATCTCATAGCAGATGCCACACATAATTTTACTGATGGATTAGCGATGGCTGCATCATTTTACACATCACCAAGCATCGGAGCAACTACAACCGTAGCTGTTTTTTTTCATGAAATACCTCATGAGATTGGTGATTACGCAATATTGATTCAAAGTGGGTTCACTAAGAGGCGTGCTATGCTTTCTCAATTCATAACAGCCATTGGAGCTTTTCTCGGGACTTTAGCTGGTATTGCTATTGAAGAATATAGTAGAGGAGAACATCATATTAATAATAGTAACGCTACTGTTAATAAAGTTGATGGAATTTTAGGTACAGGTGTTGTGCTTGGTGATTTAGTTATACCGTTTACTGCCGGTGGATTTTTATATATTGCAACTGTTGGTGTTATTCCTGAATTATTAAATGTTACTGGAAATTTATCTCGGGATATAAAACAAGCGGCAACTGAATTTTTTACTATGTTTATTGGTGTTTCTATGATGGCGATTATTGCTTGGAATGAAGGTGCATGAAATAAACTATACTACTATACCTTTATTTAATCAACTTAATGTTAACAAGTTGCATGATAATTGAAAATAAATTTATATTGTAACTTGCATTCTTGAACTTATTTGATAAAAAAATAAAAATTCTCAAAATAATTTTATAGATGGTTAAATTTGTAAAGCATATAAATATTTTTATTACTTTATAATTTTTTAATATAATAATAATTATTATGTAGCATAAGCTAATATGTATATAAAACTAATATTGTTTAACTAAAAAATAATTAAGTCTTTATAAAATATTTATGGTTTATAAGTAAAATATATATATACAAAAAGAAATCAAACTAGTAAAACTATAATATTTTTTTTTTTTTATTAAATTAGAAAATTTATAAATTACCAAAAAAATAATATATTTAATCATGTATAAATACTTAAAAAAATTATAATAAATAAAACTATAATACTTTTTCTTTTATAATTTAGCTCTTTTAAAAGATAAAATAAGTTATCTTACTTAATATATATTCTTTTTTATTTTTAGTTAATTTATAATATTCATACTTTTATTATTCTTTTTTATAGAATTTTATATTAATTAATTTAAATTAAATTATTAATTATTTATATTTATAAAACATAAAGTTGCATGTTTAAATTTATTTTTGCATTTGATAAAATATCTAAACTTTAATTTCACTAATTTTTATTAAAGTTTCAATATAATTTTACATTTTTATAAGTTTTGATATAGTTTTCTCTTTTTCAGAATTTTGCTAAATTTTATCTTTTTCCATTTAGATAACTTGCAAAACCTTTAGATTTCATTTAGCAACTTTAGTAAAATTATTTTTACTTTTTTTAAAAAAGAAATTCAATGAAAAGAGCTTAAATCTGTTTATAACTTCACATCTAAAATTTTATTAATGAATGTTATAAGAAAATTATCTTGTAAGTTTCTTTTAAACTTTGATGTTATTATTATACCTCCTTTTAATAGAACTGCTATGTTTCATCATCTTAATAGAAAAATTAATTCAAAAATATACTTACCTAGACTTCAGTCAATTTCATAATCAAGGTTGAATAGTTAGATAAAAAGGTTATCATTCAAAATGAAGCTTATATAAGTAAAACTTGCAGGTTGTTTATTTTCTTTTTCAAATTTATCATCATTTTTAATATCTACTTGCTTTTATGCAGTTATTATGGATTTATTAAATATAACCTGGGTGGTAACAAGTTGTTTAAATGTGAAATAATGATGGATAGGGATATTAATGGTATTTTTCTCCGGAGACATATATGGATTAAAACGTATTATAAATAAACGTATCAAAAAATCTAAATTTTATTTATAAAACAGATATAATATATATTATTACACATTATTTTAGACAAAGGAAAGCAAGAAAACAATCCATAAATTATAATCAAATACAAAAATACAGAATTAAAAACAATTATTTGTAATTTTTACTTTCGTTATATCGAAAGATATTAAAAGTATCAAATTCTAAATAGAAAGATTCGACTTCAAATAATATAATAAAGTCTCCAATTTTCAATTTCGTTTTTTTTTTTTTTTTTTTTTGAGACAAGATTATTTATAATGATTTCTATTTTAATAAAAGTCTTTTAAACCAGCAAGATTCGCCGAAAATAAATACAAATTAATAATAATAAATTAATAAACGATGGTTTCCTCCAAAAAGTCATTTTTTTTCTTATCAATTATATAATAAATCTTCTTGTTAAAGTGTCTTTTGGTTTTATTTGCTTATGTTGTTTTATTTTAACAACTGATCAGTTATTTTTTCAATGATAACCCTTAGGTTGTGGATTAGGTGAAGGTGCGCGTTCTAATTCATGTGTATTACCAAACCCTACATCCTCAAATTGTGCTTGTTGATAATATTGTTGTGGAGGATATCCTGTACCGTTATTGGAATTTACAGAATAATCATAGTATTGTTGAGGTCCTAAGTCCGCTGACGTCTGTGAATGTACTGAACCCGAATCTCCGTAATAATCTCCATCATTGCCTGATAATAAGGCGCTGTTTGGATCATTGCTCATTTGTTGATGTACCAAATGTGTTGGTCCCCCTTGTTGTCTTTCACGTTCTTGACGTTTGTTTCTTCGAATACGTGTACGTTCCCAATCTTCCCATCGTTTTAGTGGTACCTTGGATGCGTCAAATTCACCATCTTTTTTACCATGATCATCACCTTTCCCTTCACCTTCAACTTTTCTAGTTTCTCCCCACGAAAAATCATCGAAATGCCAGTAAGCATAAGTCGGTAAGACGAAATTCCATACAGGTAAAGCAAGTAAATATACAAGCATCCAAGCGATATAAATCAATTTTCTTGTGGTGATCAAAATCAATATAGCAGGCAAACCAAGAACCATTCCCAACATTATTAATGGAATTGCTTCTGTGAAACTTTGCGGTGGTTTAATTATGATATTAACGACCAAGGCATAAGTCAGCAAAATAGCGACGGGAAGTACAACAGTACCGATCAATTCCATAAATACGACAAATTGCATAGAAAAACAGAATGTTCCACAAAGATTACGAACAAGGACAAGCTCCATAAGATTGTGAATTGTAGAGTTAATCCAACGACGGCGTTGTGAAAGCAAAACCCAAAAATCGTCGGGTACAACTGTTTTACAAACAGCTTGTGGACAGAACATCATCTTACGATGAGGAAAGTTTCTCAACATAAGTGTTGTTAAGAAACGATCTTCACCAAGAAGCAACAAATTCTTTTGATGAAGGGTTTCAACTGTATTTTGTGAATATTCTTGTACAATTTCAGGCTTTGTAACAATTGGTACCCAATCGTCATCTCCTTTACGGGCCTTAAGACGGTACATACAGAAACAACCAGGTAAACAAGTGACACCACCAAACACGGATTCAAAACCTTTACCCAAATGATGAGAAATATAATATTCGAAAACTTGAATAGCGGTAACCCAAGAATCACGCTTGTTGGCGATTTTTGTTTCACCACAAAGACCCATAATAAGTGGATCATTACACATACAATTAATCAAAAGTCTAAGGGAGTTGGGATATACTTTAGTATCAGCATCAACCTAATTCATAATTTTATTTAGGAAAAAATTGCATTTTATTAGTATTACTATAAATGTATAAATACTTTGTAAAAAAAAAAAAAATTGCGATATTTTAACAATTACCATAAGTACGATTTCGAAAAAATCCGGAGTTACGCCCATTAAATGATGAATCTTTCTAAAAAGGTCGTAATCCAAAGCGCACATACGGTCGTTGTAAGTTACACGACTGAAGAAGTTCATCAATATCAATTGAGAGTCACGTTTTCCACGATTTCCGGGTTTTGGTTTACCTTGTTCTTCAGGACCACCACATTTTACAACAGTGACCATGGGGATACGACGATCCTTCCAGCGGAAGAAACCAGCATAGACTTTAGCCATGTTATGTTGTTTAGAACCAGCAGCGACAGCAACGTAACTTTGTGGTTGGGGATTTTCAAATTCAGGTTCTATAATCACAAAATTTAGAATTATTTATATATTATCACAAATAAAATCCGAAATAAGCATATAATTTTTAGCAGAGCACATACCAACTTCCATAAGGTCGATACAAATATCAGGAGTACTTTTATCATTGCCAGAACCGATAATGATACCATCACAAATAAGGAACAACAATTTACGATCATCAGGATAATCGGTAGCAGCCATTGATTCACAAGTACATCTTAAACCAGTTTCATCCTCAGAGTAACATGTGACCAACAAGACAGTAAATAAATCATTACCCACATCATCCATAGATATGTTCTTTGCGACGGTACCAGTTCCAGAAGTCCATGGTTGACCACCAGCACTAACAAAACTTTGTGTTGAGACAACAGATTTTGGATTCTTTGGTTTAAGAGCAAGACGATGAGAGATGAACCAATCAAAAATACAAGCCATCGCAAAACGAGTCAAGACGATACTTAAGATGACAGTCAAAGATACTAATAAGAAGAGTTGAGAAGTGAAACATCCAATAGTTTCCTTATCAATGTTACCGGCATAATATTTACTAACAAGGCAATTAACTGAAGCTTTCATATCAGGTCTACCAAAGAAAAGGCGAGTAGCGTCCTTTCCACCTTCCAAATGATCAGTAGTCAAAACATCACGGATTACTTTATCAACTTGATCTCCTGTTGGATTTGGATGCGTTTTCATGTAATCTTCAAGATTAAGCACATTACCATCAATAACCAAGTAGTCTGGAAGTTTGGAAATTTGTTCCCAATCAAACCCAACTTTTTTAGTTGTGTTTGTAATTTTATATTCTTGAAAAGTAGCATCATCAATGATTTTAAGTATGCAAGTGTCTTTATGACAAAATTGGTCGCTAACTGCGGCAAATTTCTGAATTTCAGGATCTTGACAATTTGGATAATCAGCGAGATTACGTTGGAATAATCCAGTAATATCTTGTCCATTTTGATTTTGAGCAAGAACTTCGAAACTTACGAGCTCTTTACCACCTTGACCTTTGGGATTTACAGATTGAGTTATATCAAATTGCCATCCACTTATACCAAGATGTCCTATAATAATAATATAATTTTACGCAGTTATTAAATCTTGCTCATCATTTTTGCAGATTGTCGAGGCAAAATTCTGTCACGTGAGTTTTCGTAATAATTACCTGGTGCTTCACCGTAACGCTTAAATAAATCGGGATTGTTTTGTTGAGATGGAGGACATAGAATGGCAGCAAATCCAACGGTTAAAAATGCAACAGAACCGCCCATAGCAACAGCGATAAAACATAGTGCAATTTTTTCTCGCCAAGCTTGTTGGGAACTTTTATCATGAAGTCCACCAATCGATGATAAAAGTGCAGCAGGAGCCCAAATAGTAATAACTTTTGAAAAAAATACCCATGGATCAAAAGCTTTCTTACCATCACCCGGCAACATAGGAGTTGCTGGCTGATACCT